AATGCTATGGGCAATTTAGCACAGCCAGCCCACCTAGCCTACACATCTTTGGACTGTGGGAGGAAACTGACGCAGACACAGGGAGAATGTGTAAACTCCACACAGATGGTCACCTGAGGGTGGAATTGAACCTTGGTCCCTGGTGCTGTGAGGCAGCAGTGCTAACCACTGAGCCACCATGTCACCCTGTTTGTTACAGTTATTTTTGCCTTGGGTTACCTGTGGATCTAGAAGTCCCCAGATTCCTCAGTTACAACACAATGCCTATCTCACCCTTGACTGTGTGTCAATAAATTATTATAATTTGTTAATTTTATCAATCACAGAATTAACTGCTGTTTTTAATGACAATTTTGTTGTGTTTATTAAATGCTGATACCACTTACAAGTTAAAGTTGAAAATTAATTTAGGAGATGTAGGCTTTCCTGGCTGGGCAAACATTTGTTGCCCATCTCAAACAGCCCTTGAGAAGGTGGTGGTGAGCTGCCTTCTTGAACCACTGAAATCCATCTGGTGCAGGTTTTGAGATAAGGCCACTGGGAGGGTATCCTGTGATTTGGTAGCATTGTGAAGGGAAACTCGTGAGGTGAACACTGGTGATGATCCTGGGATTAGGATACAACTCAAGTGTGACTATTGGGTTTTGTGATTATTGAGGGAGAATTCATGGATTTGGAAGTGGGCGTCAAGGTTCAGCATGATTTGACAGCACAATTGCTTAGTGGTTAGCACTAAGCCTCATAGCACCAGGGTCCCAGGTTCAATTCCAGCCTCGTGTGACTGTCTGAGTGGAGTTTGCACATTCTACTTTGTCTGGTGGGTTTCCTCTGGGTGCCCTGGTTTCCTCCCACAGTCCAAAGTTGCATAGGTTAGGTGAATTGGCCACGCTGAGTGCCTATAGTGTCCAGGGATGCACAGGCTAGATAGAAATGCAAGGTTACCAGGATAGGGTTGGAGGGCTGGGTCTGCATGGCATGCTGTTTGGAGGGTCAGTGTAGACTTGATGGGCCAAACGGCCTGCTTCCGCAGGGCAGGAATTCTGTGACTCAATGGTAATTGAGGAGGGAGCACTGGAGCATTGTGGAGCAAACAATCTAGCTGTATTAAGGCTTTCTAGAATCAAACAATATTGGATGACAAGTCTAACAACTTGTGAGGGGGGAAACCAATAGGATGGGTCTGAAAGTGTTGTTGGTCTTTTATGAACTATTAAGTACAAACTCATCATCACCCTTCTTAACCCATCAGCATTGCCTTTGGGTTTCCCTGCCACTTCTTTCGTCATTGGTTGGTGTTTACTTTCTTATTGTAAAGAATTTAATATAACTTTTTAGCTTATTAAAAGTACTGGACAGAAAATCATAAGCTAGTTTGCAAAATATCCTAATATGCACATATTCCACAAATACTTCTGGCAGATACTGCTGTCTGTTGGTCATAACAGAGAATGACATTTTTAATAAGAAATACTTAATTTGTCTAAATATACCTTGGCTTTTTTTCAAAGTCATTTGGCAGAAGCAAATAAACTGTCAAATATTTATAGTTGGGATCACACTAGTCAACTCTTTTTGGTGCGGAGATTGTATTCTGGGAAATTCTGCAATATGTTTATGCTCAGATATAAGATGGCTGAAAGCTCTCTCCAGCTGCTTTCTGGTAGTAATATCTGGGTGAGGCCTATGCTTTTGAAACATGCTAAAGCCTTAAAGTAAAAGTTTTAAATAAATATATTAAAAGACTCAAAGGGAAATTAAGTCAGTAAATATTATTGTGCTATGTAAATATATTTCATTTTCTTCTAAAACAAAATTGGGTATTAGAAGTTTCAATTACGTAGAAATAAAAATGCAAGGCAGGAGCTTTACAAAATCATCAATGATGATTTATTTGGTGCATCAACATACTGTAGTGGGAAAAATTGACACACGCTTTTCCCATTTTCAAATACAGACATAGAACTGTTCATCATAATGTGCTGGCATATTATTTATTTTCATCCCAAATCATAACAATACAGAACTGTTTTATGTTTTTCATACAGACACTTGGAGAGAATCTGCTTTTGCATTTTGTTTTCTCTAGTCTCCTGGATCCCCAATCTTGGCTTCTTGCATGCTGTCTTCTTACTGAGAACTTCTATCATGGTGCTTGTCATCCAAAGTTCTTTATTTCCTTTAAAGCAGTTAGATGACATATTTGCACAATAAAAAAAAGCAAATCTATTATTTTAAAATATGGTGATGGTTCCTGATATTCCAGCATTTATTTGTTTGCACCTGAAAATGAGCTGGTTTCAATATTGTGTTTTTGTGACTACGAATTCTGTAAACCCCAACAAAATCAATATTTCAAGTTGGACAATAGATGATCTAAATAAATATTTTGGCAAAATTAGTGTTCTGTTGCAGGAAGTAAAATTTGTTAAGAAGATCATTTATAATCTGTTACTTGTGCAAGTGCAGCTTGAATTCTTGTTTAAATTGTGGATCTTTAACTATTAGAAACATTGATAGGTTTAATTGTTTTATCTCAGAATATTGACAGTATTGTCAAAACCACTAAATGTATATCTATTTTTTTTTATTATCTCAAAATGTCAAGGTTTTCCAGTTCCCTACTTACTAATCTGTTCACAAAATGGTTACAGCACAGAGGAAGGTAATTTGGCCTACAGTGTCCTTGCTGGGTCTCTGAGGGAACAATTCACCTATTGTTACTCACTGCTGTCTCCCCGTAGTCCTGCACATTGTTTCTTTTAAGCTGAAAATCAAACTTTCTCAGATTCCTAAATTGAACGTGTCTTACCACACTCTCAGGCAGTGCATTCCAGGTCCCAACCACTTTATTCTGTGTGAATTTGTTTTCCTCATGTCACTATTGATTTTGTTGGTAATAACCTCACACCTACACTCTCTTTATCTTGAACCTTTCACCAATGTGAACAGTTTTTCCCTATCTACTGTGTCGAGCCCCTCATGATTTTGAATACCTTTATCAAATGTCCTCTCAATCTTCTCTTCAAGGAAAACCATTCCAATTTCTCCAATCTATCTACACAACTGAAGTCCGTCATCCCTGGAACTGTTCTTATGAATATTTTTTCAGAATCTCTCTAATGCCTTTTCATTTATCCTTGGGTGTACACTCAAGACTAGACATACTTCAGTTGAGGCTAAACCAGAGTTCTATACAAATTATAACAACTTCATAAACTATAGTTTGCAATTCTGTCCTTGTAACTTGTAGTCTGTCTTGAATTGCTAACATTTCTCGGAACCAATAAATTCTATTTTTAAGAAAAGAAAATTTTAATGATATCTTAAAGTGCTTAACAGTTATAAGAAAATAGTAGCACTGATCATATGTAGGTAAATGGGCCGTACTGCCCCATCAGTAACAATAAGATGAATTGCCAATTAATGATGGCCAACTTAAATTGGTAATTTTGTTTGAATCACAGCTGTTGATCAGAGCACCGAGAATAGTTCTTGCTTTTCCTTTGAATACATCTTCGGATCTGAATTGGTGCAGCAGGCCATGATTGATCTCATTTAAAACAAACACCTCTGGAAATGCAGAATTCTCTGGGTATTGTGTTTGGGTGTCAGTATATATGGAATACCCAATCCTGGAGTATGGCTTGAAGCTACAACATTGAGTTAGGTAGACAGAATGTTGGCAAACTAGTACTTATAAAGGTACACTAATGTCTGTTTTGTGAATGCTCATATTCAATGGCCCCATCGTTCCTTCTCCAGTTTATGGGTCAATTTGAATATATTATTTAAAACATTAAAACAATGACTACACCTCAAACATACTTGGTTGACTGTAAAACCATCTAGGTCATAAACAGTGCTATTTAAATGTACATCTACCTATAGTATGGCAAATGGATCATACACGTTGTTTGGTTAGGCTGTTTCAGGCTGTAATTAATTGAGGTTCAATACTTAAGCACGAAGCTGCTGGACAGGAGTGTAAATTAAAAATAGTTTAAGCCAAAAATAGTGACTGATGTGATTAATGAACCGTTAAATTCGCAATCCTGCTATTTCTTAGCCTGACAGTTTTCATGTGTAAAATGTGTCATTTACATATACTCAGGCTAAATTTGAACCGCTAGCACATTGAAATAGATATCCACCTTCAGTCCATATTAGTGTAAGTTTTTAAATGATTTAAAAATAATAAAAGATACATTCTGTTTCCCGCTTTGATCCATCGTATTTAACTCTATGTATCGAATACGTATCACATGAAACATTTGAAATACTCTTTACTGAACTGAACTTTAGCTACAATGAATTAGGAGATAAACTGAGTAAACCACACGCTGAAGATGTGACCAACATTCTATGTGTAAGCAACATAGAATATTTATATTAAGCATTAGCCAACTAACGCATAGGTATAGGTAGCACTGGAAAACAAAATGTGACGATTTAAAAATTAAATGTGAGTTAATGTATTGGTTCGACGTTCCAGTAGATTTGAAGTTAAATCTTTACCATTCTAGTTTGAAATTTCAGCCAGTGGAAGTGTGTAAAGTAAATTAGAGGGCATCCCTTGCACCAAATAGCTACGCAATGAGATAAGCAATAATCAAGGTACTTAAAAATCATGTCTTTACTTTTGATTAAAATTTGCTGGTCCTTGTGCATTCTATCTCCATCTTACTGCAATCTGACATTTAAAAAAAAACCAAAAAGCTGCCGATGCTGGAAATCTGAAACAAAACGTAAAGTACGAGAAGTTTTTTGTGAGAACAGCTAGGTCACTGGGGTCGGAAAGTTAACAGTTTTTCCTCTACAGTGGTTGCCAAAGCTGTCGAATTTCTCTAGTACTTCGATGCCACCACAATCTGAAACGTGTAACGAGTCTATGCATGCTTTGTGGTAACTGTTACTAACTAGTTGAATACACAAGATATTTCTGAAATGATTACTGCTGGTGAATGTTGTAATGTACTTTCACAGACTGGAGATGGAGTCACAGCTAAAGAAAGCATCTCTCTGAAACGCGTGGCTGTGGTGGAGGACTTTTTCGACATCATTTATTCTACGCATGTGGAAACAGGGACTGAGACTGCGAAGACGGCGAAACACGCCGGACAGAAACGGACTTACAAAGCGGTGAGCTAAACCTTCAAGAATGATAGTATTCAAATAAATGTCCCCATTGCCCTGCAATGCAGTTCTGAGCTATTTTACTCATTTAATATATTGTTTGCTACACTGCTGCGGTATACCTGAAAGTATTCAAGCTTTTAATGTAGTTTGAAACATTCCCGAATACTGTACAATTTGTAACACGTTTGTTTCGATAGTAAAATTAATGCTTTCATTAAATATTAGAACCACACTGTCACCATTACTTAATCGTTAACTACAAAACCAGTTTAAATATTTTGACACTAACTTTATTCAAACTGTGCTCCTCGTCAGATATAGGCAGGACTTTCCCATTTAGGTGGCGGGTAGAGAAGTTACATTGCTACGTGTCCTGATTTATGCATTGTTGCTGTTCCTTTAAAATACACCAATCTGAGCGACAAATTCGAAAGCGCTTCTCGTTATAATACAAAGTAACTATATTCAGAGTGTAACATATTGCTGATCCGGATTTTAGCATTCTATGAGGAGGATCTACATTAATTAAAGTCCTGTAATTCACGGGCGTTTTGTTCTTCTAGCCAAAAACGAATTCGAAAAAGGCGAATGAATTTTATAATGGAAGTCAATTGAATAGGTTCTGATCATCCAACATTTCCTGCATAGTACACTACAGAGAATAAAATTCAGTGGGTATACAATTGTTGAACTGACCCTCCTAAGGTTGTCTGGCTCTGGGCTTGGAGGCGAGGTTGGATGTTTACTATAAGGTGGAGAGTATGGATGAGGTGGCTCATGCAGACGCTGACATAACAGTAGATTTTTAAAAAAAAAGTTTCAACTGATTCGCTGTTTGCTTTGAATTTTGTAAAGTTCTAGGTGAGAAGCAAAACCAGTATTAGCCACTCTGCTTTCCATGCTTTTTAAAATCATAGTTGCTTTTATTTTCCCATTGTTCAACTGGTTTCATGAGGTATGCCACCATCTTTGCTGAATGTGGCTGCAACTTCTTCTCCTCTACTAATGCATAATCTAACAGTTGTGCAATATACAGTATACCTAATCGCTGTAAATCATTACAACGATGTAGGGCCCACGTGAAACATGGCAGCTGATGCATGCATAGTGTTCACTCAGTCCTGGAAATACAGTTTCAGCACATCATCAGCATATCTTCTGGCTGAATTTTACTTTTTTTTGGCTAAGTTCAAGTTGTGCCAAGTTTTTTTTTAAGAGGATTTGTCGCTACAAAGCATCTTAACCAAATTCGCCTCATTAATTATCTACCACGCCTCTATGGTCTCTCTCATCTGATTTCAGCCCCATCTTATCATGTGCCTTTCCCAGAAACAACTCATTACCTCAGTTATCTTGGCTTTAAATGGCATCCCTGGTACCCATGCCATCTTTAAAAGTCCACTGTGCATGTGGAAAAGCACTGTCAGTGTGGAGCTGCCTCACACAGATACTGACATTTGCCCTGGACGTGGCAGAAGGAGAAACCGACATCCAACTTTACAGGCAGGGTCTGGGAGGTTGTGCTGGACAGGTTGCTGGTATCAAAGGTCTTCCTCCTCCCTCCAACAACAGCATACCACGATCATTCCAGCCTGGTCCAAGTTTACCATTTGCAGTAAAGCAATCTCAGTTGTCTGTAGAAATGCCCCCAGCATTGTAGAAAGAAGGTAAATGACCCCCACTCCACTAGTATATGTTCAACCATCTTCTCTCTGTTATGTCACACTCACTATCTCTGCCACTGCACTCCCAACCAGCCTCATAATCTACCACTCTCAGTATTCCCTTTAACATCTTTCCAATTGCTCTCATCCACCCCAATCCATGACACTACTCACTCAGAATGTCCTCTGTGCTACCTCCTCACTCATTCGGGACATCTCATCACATGCACCACCAGTAACTGCTGTGGCAGTCAGCTTCATCTCCAGTAATAGCCGCTGTGCTCTCATTCCATGAGGAAAACAGCCACAATAGGGCAGAGAGACCATCAAGATGGGTGGTGTGCTGCCCATCACTCAGCTCCTGGTGAAGCTGATCCTGACTCTGACCACTCAAATGAGGCCTGGACAGGTATTAGAGGATGCCCTTAACTTACTGTTGTGAACCGGTGAGTGTAGGCCACTCCTCTGATGGAGGCCTACTGACAATTTATGACAAGCCTTTTGGTTTTGTGTCTGCACTAAATGGCATGGCAAGACAGTAGTAAGGTGAGGTTGGTATCTCTGGCTGAGGGGACAATGTGCAAAAAGGCAAGGGAAGGCTTGGATGAGATAGATCTCAAATTCGTGAGGGAGGTAAGGGAAGAACTATCAGGGGTCCTGGCAGTAATTTTCAAATCCTGTCCAGCCACAGGTGAGGTGCCAGAGAACTGGAAGACTGCTAATGTTGTCCCATTATTAAAAATCGAAGGGAGAGATAAACCAAGAAATTACAGGGCAGTCGGTTCACATTTAGCATTGGGGAAGTTATTCAAAAGAAAACTGAGTGGCAGAAAATATCTGCACTTGGAGAAGCATGGGTAGTCATCATACATTTGTTAAGAGAAAGTCAAATTTTATAAATTTGATCAAATTTTTTGAGGAGGTAATGGGGAGTGTTGATGTGGATGATGCATTCGATGTGTTTGACATGATCAGTTCCATTGTGGCAAACCAGTCAAAAAGGCAAGAGCTTATGGGATCCAAGGTGAAGTGCTACGTTGGCCAAAATTGGCTGAGAGGCAAGAGTAGTGGATGGTGTTACAGAGATACTTCTGTGATGAGAAGTCTGTTTCCAGTGGAGTTCTGCACGGCTCTGTGCTGGGTCTTTACTGTTTGTGGTATACATCAATGATTCGGACTTAAATATAGAGGGTATGTTCAAGAAGTTTTCTGGTGACATGAAAATTGGTAGGGCAGTCAATGGTGAGGAGGATAGCCATAAACTGGAGGAGGATATTGATGGATTGGACAGCTGGGCAGAACAGTAATGAATGGTATTCAATCCAGAAAAGTGAGAGTTATTGCACAAGGCAAGGGACTACACTATGTATAATAGGACCTTGGGAAGTACTTAACATTAGAGAGACCTTTGTGTGCATATCCACAGATCCCTGAAGGTAACACTGCAGTAAGACAAGGTGCTTAAGATGACATATGGGATACTTGTCGTTATTAGCTGAGGTGCAGGATACAAGAGCAAATAAATCAGTAGGAAGCCAGAGGATTGGGAAGCCTTTAAAAACCAGCAGAGGATAACTAAAAAAGAAATAATGGGGATGATGAAATATGAGAGTAAGCTAGACAGTAATATAAAAGAAGATTGCAACAGTTTTTCTTAAAAATCTAATTAGTAAGAGAGAGGCAAGAGTGCACATTGGACTGCTGGAAATGAGGCTGGAGAAGTAGTAATCGGGCAAATTTGCATCATTTTTACAGTGGAAGACACCAGCAACATACCAGAAATTCATCTTGAAGGGGCAGAGGTGAGTGTAGTGGCCATCACTAAGGAGAAGTTGCAGGGGAAGCTGAAAGGCCTGAAGGTGGATAATTCACCTGGACTATAGAGTCATAGAGTTGTACAGCATGGAAACAGACCCTTTGGTCCAATTCATCCATGCTGACCAAATATCCCAAATTAATCTAGTCCCATTTGCCAGCATTTGGCCCATATCCCTCTAAACCCTTCCAATTCATATACCTATACAGATGCCTTTTAAATGCTGCAATTGTACTAGCCTCCATCAATTTCTGTGGCAGCTCATTCCATACATGCGCCACCTTCTGCACAAAAAAGTTGCCCCTTAAGTCCCGCTTAGATCTTTTCGCTCTCACTTTAACCCAATGCCATCTAGTTTTGCATTCCACTACTCTGAGAAGGCGGCCTTGGCTTTTCACCCTATTCATGCCCCTCATGATTTTATAAACCTCTATAAGTTCACCCTCAGCCTCCGACACTCCAGAGAAAACAGCCCCAGCCTATTCAGCTTCTCCCTGTAGCTCAAAACCTCCAACCCTGGCAACATACTTGTAAAACTTTTCTGAATCCTTTCAAGTTTCACAACATCTTTCTTATAGCAGGGAGATGAGAATAAATGGAGTGTTCCAAAAGTGGCCTAACCAATGTCAATTACAGATGCAATATAACATCCCAACTCCTGTACTCAATGCACTGACCAATAGAGGCAAGCGTATCAAACGCCTTCTTCACTACCCTGTTAACCTGTGACTCCACTTTCAAGGAACTATGAATCTGTACCGCAAGGTCTCTTGGTTTGACAATGCTCCCCAGGACCATACCATTCAGTATATATGTCCTGCCCTGATTTGCCTTACCAAAATGCAACAGCTCACATTTATCTAAATTAAACTCCACCTGCCATTCCTCAGCCCATTGGCCCATTTGATCAAGGCCCTGAGATAACCTTCTTCACTGTCCACTGCACCTCCAATGTTGCTGTCGTCTCCAAACTTACTAACCATACTCCTATTTTCACATCCAAATCATTTACATAATGATGAAAAGCAGTAGACCCAGAACTGATCTTTGCAGCACACTCCTGGTCACAGGCCTCCAGTCGGAAAAGCAACCCTAAACCACCACCCTCTTTCGCCAATGTTATAGCTAATTTTGTATCCAAATGGTTAGCTCTCCCTGGATTCCATGTGATCTAACCTTGCTAACCAGTCTATCATGTGGAACCTTGTCAAATGCCTTTCTGAAGTCCATATAGACACTCTGTATAGACATCCACTAATCCGCCTTCATCAATTGTCATTGAATTTTTAAAAAAAGTGACAATCAAGTTAGTGAAACACGATTTCTTACACACGAAGCCTCGTTGACTATCCCTAATCAGTCCTTGCATTTCCAAAAACATCTAAATCCTGTTCCTCAGAATCCCCTCCGACAACTTACCCACCACAGACATTGGGCTCACTGGTCTATAGCTCCTTGACTTTACCTTATTATTTTTCTTAAATAATGGCACCTCATTAGCCATCCTTCAGTCTTCCGGCACC